CAAGAAAATCAAGGCTTTTGTTTCTCTCTGCATTTTGTATTTATTCATGACATCTCACCTGTACGGTTTGAGGAAAGGCCAGAGCCGTCTCCCAGCAGAGACTTAGAAAAGCCTGTTTGGCACTTTCAACATTCATGTTTCACATCTTCTTTTAATGGTTATGCAACACTATTTAGCAAAAAATTCTAGCAAAGATCATACGAGTCTCATTTTGATTTATTTCTTTTATTAAAAAAGGATTTGTTAAACCTTCCAGTACTGCTTAACTTTGGCAAAGATACACAGCCACTGCTGATAACTGTAGCTTTTTGCTCATCTTGTCAATAGATATTCTCGCCTCCTCATGCTGTAACAATGTCACTCTCGAGGTCTATAGCAAACCCAGCAGCCTTCAGCTGATGTGATGTAACAGTGGGTTCATGAATGAAGTAGAGCATCCTCTCTGGGACTTTATAATGTTAATTCCAAGGATTTCCCATGTGGTTCCATCACAGAAAGAGTTCCTTCTCTAAACTGTATTGTGGTAAAATGAGTAGGAAGTGTCTGAGCCGCCTATAGCTTCCTGAAAGTTCTGTTCAAAGAGCCAAACTTCTTTATAACATTCAGTCCTCCTACGAACATCTTGGTCAGAAAAACATAACCACCAATGCTATCTAAAGGGACGAGCAGTATCTGAAACTCGTCTTTCAGATAGATAAAATTGGCAGTAGTCCCTTACAGGAGATCCATTATGTTTCTTTCAACATGTTAGGATAGGCCGATGCTGTTCAACACAGGTCCATTGCATGTTCATGCTAATATAATCAGATTGGGGTGTGATCAGTTCTTTCCGAATGAACCGTTTTAGGGTCTCTTTTCACTTTAAATCGCTTACATTCACACTTTGTGCATGTGGAAATTGCTGAAAACAGATGTGAAACTGTACAACCGATGCTGAGACAGACCCAGAAGGAGAACAGCCTTTTGCGCTACCACCAATGATGTAACAAGTCCTCTCTGGATGGTAAGTCTACAACATAACGTTTGTTTTTTTCTAGCAGCTATTGTACAACGCTGACAGCGGTAAAACCAGCCGAATGTGATTTAATAATTGGAAGGCTTCTAAAATTGCTAATTTTCTAAACACCAAAAAGAGTAAGCTATTGTCAGAAGATGACTCTGCTGGTTTTTTTAAACACTTTGACTCAATCTATCATGCATAGTTGCTTTTGCATGTTTATTTTGCAACTGCTTCTGCAGTGAATTTAAGCATTTGTCATACCTCAGTCAATGGGATTATATGCAAAAAGTAGTTCTGAATGAGAAAAACAGTGACTAAGCACAAGAAATGCCAAAGTAAAAAATTTCACTGACAATTTTTGCAAAATATTTTGAAAAGTGTCAAATGAAACTGTCTCCAATGGAGAGAAATATCTTGAACATTCAATAGGTAATAATATTTTTTCTTTGTCATATATAGTAACAATATTGTCAAAAATGCGTAGTGTAAACAGCTTCAATGCCTTTTAATCATGTTTATATTCTCCGTCCTTTTGTTTCATTTAATCAAAATGGTAAAAGTCCAGTGTGTATAAAAACATTAGTATGCATTTATATGCTTTATGTTCAAAGATTCTTCCACCTGAATGATTGATCTCCTTCTGCATCCCAAAAGTTACAACTTGGCTCTTGGGTGTTTCTGTGATTAATGCTCTCCTTGTCTGGCCTCAGTTTAAGTGGATGGCTCCACCTCGTTAGGGTTGCATTGGCATCAAACTCTTTCCATTTTCAGACGGATTAAACAGTGATCTCTGAGATGTTCAAAGCTTCACAGTTTTGTTTTTTAACCTAGCTCTACTTTAAAACGCCCACACCCCGCCTTATTCCAGATTTATCTCATGTTTTCCTTCATCTTTACGATGCTGTTAGTTCACTAATTATCTCTCTGAGGTCTTCATAGAACAGTTTGATTTACCAATTAGGTGATTTACCTGTAGGGATCTTGAGAATTTTAAAAAATTATATGTATCAAACTACACAAAACAAAAATTTAAAATACCCAAAAAAAAAACATAAAATAAAAAAAAAGTCCACACTATTTAGTTACACTTTTAGGAGTCATGCAGCATTGAGTTTAGACTCTGTGTCAACTCAGCATCCACCGACTTTGCCTCTAACTCTGAAACAGATATCTAGCTGACTCTCTGGGGACCCAAGAGGCAGAGAGGGCAGAGAAGAGAAGAGAGAACAGTGTGAATGTTCAAACAATAGAGCTACACCATGCGTAGACGGACAACCACTCAGCCATATAAAAATATCCTCTCGTTTTCATTAATCTTTCCCTTGCTCCATCTTCAAGTAGCTTTTTTTTCCTCCCTCAAGCCCTTTGCAAAAATCTTCTCCCTTTTTTTCTAATTCTATGTGCACAATGGGACTTTCTTTTTTTCCCATGCCAACAGCTATGGTAGAGACTTCAACTCTGATCATTTACAGATTGCCTATTGTTGCAAATAATAAGATAACTTTTCTCAGTAAGCAACATGTTATCAACATGCTGAAATACATAATTAGAATCAGTGAAGAATTCACTCTTGGTTCACACTTCTGTAAGATTTTTTTTTCTTGTAGTTAAAGCGACAGAGGAATGTTTAAAGTTAATACTTAGAAAAAAATAAAAATGGATTTTCTTATTTCTTCAAAAATGCTATGGCAGTAGCGGTCTTCATTTGCTGTGGGTTTTCTTTTTAGATGAGGAAAAGAGAAGAGAGAGAAGCAGGGAAGACATACAGCAAAGGTCCTGAGGTCGAGATGAAACCCGGTTGGCTGCTTCAAATAATATCCTCCATGTACGGTCTCAGCCACAGCATATCAAATACATCTTGAGTGTTTCAATATAGTCTAAGTCTTGTAAGTTATTCTTTTTTGCCAAAAACTTAATAGGGTTAAGTCTTACTCTGTTGGGATTTGTCAAGCTTCTTTGTATTTCACAAGCTATACAGCCCCTGAAATGTTGCCTTGTCTTTTACGCTTTCTTGGGCTGACATGTTCATGGCCACATACACACACAGAGGTTTGTGTTTCTACCCATTTTGGGCCTTTGCATTCATTTCCATTCATTTCAGTGACAGTATTTATTCCTAATGTGGACGTATTTCCTAATCATTACGAATTTATTCCTAACCAAAATTTAATTCACACCACCCGTCTAAACCTCTTATCCTAATCAAGAGGGTTCAGTGTGTTAGCACCAGACTTTGGTTCCCATGTTCCTGCTGGCCATCAAAAGGTTAGGAAATGTGCTAGAAATGGTTCAAAACAGAAAAGCTAGAAACGAAAGCACATAAAATGGCATTTTCTGTTCAGTTATATTCTGATGTTTGCATAATAAACCATGGGACATAAAGTTAGGACGCTTAAGCAGAGGTTCACGCAATTTAAAACTTACCTCATTTGAATATATATACTGTTACAATATAATCTTGTAAGTCTCAGTGCACTAGGCAAAATAGGTGTATGGATAGTTTATTGTTATTGGGAGTAAAAATAAAAACTTGTTTATAAAGCATCCAAAAAGCAAGCATTCCCTGATCGTAATGGAATAACTACATCAACTCTTGTTAATTCCATTGAGTAGTAAGAAAAAAAAAGTTTCTACACGTTCTACCAACTTTATGGACACAATCCTCACTTATAGGGGAACTACTGCCATTTAATTATCTGTTATAAAATTGTAGAGTCATTTCCAAAGTAATTTTCCCCAGCATCTCCATAAAATGACTGGTGGTAGGGTTTCTGCTTTAACGTTTCCTCCCTCTAGCTGTATTCTAGTGTTTTTATGACATACGATTTCATTTGGAACATTTTTCGCTTCCAACCTTTGAGCAGAGGTTGTGGTAGCAACAGCCAATAAGAATGAAATGTGCACAAAGTGTGGAATAATTGATGATGGCAGCTTTATGTAGGAAAAGAAGACAAAAAAAAGCAGACTCCAATGCAGAATTACATAACACTGCAGCTCCATGACAGGGCATCTGAGGTCGAATCCAAAATTAGATCAATATGTGCTTATAGATCTCTGCTGATGTGCTCAACTTAAGCATATCAGATTACATTTCACTAAGCATCTCTCATGGCTAAAACTCTGGCCAGAGAATGCACTGTGAAGAACCTCTTTTAGAGGACTGCTGCTGACGCATCTTGATGAGCCTTCATCGCATTTTTGCTATGAAAACTTTGGGATGCTAGTTTCCACCTTAAAAGCCCTCTATTCTCTTTTCATTTATTATTATTTTCAGCCTTTTTAGGCGATTATATCACTTAGAAACAACCCACAAGTACAAAAGTGTATCTCCTCGGTCAAGGCTACTGGATACTCAGCGTCGTGCCATTAATTTTTATTTTTCACTTCTTGCTCTAGTGTGAACAAGAAACTTTTTGGAGGCGAGCAAATCCAGGTCAGATAAGATCCAACCATCCTTTTGCTCATGGATTTTTATCTGCAAAAAAAAAGCCCAGGCTTCAGAACAGCAGTCAGCATTAAAAAAGTGTGACGCTCCACCGATACTGCCAGTCTTGCAGGTTATTATCAAAACTGTGGAGTGAGATTTTCACCCTCCATGGGATAGATACATGTGAATAAAGGGAGAAGAGCAGACAATAACTTAGAGAAAATTCTCCGCCAAGCTTTGCCTCTTTTTAAATTTTATCTCCAACACAAGGTGTCCTATGCAACAATAAATCCCCTTCAGCTATACTGAACGATTACCTTCGTGCCAAACACACAAAAAGAGAAATAAGATTTGTTATTTCACATTTGTAATGGACAATTATCTGGGTGAAACACAATGAGATACTAAGATTTACTTGCGTATCCTCAGTTACTTGCTCTTAATTTTATCATCAGTCAGGTATTGGCATTAGTACCTTAAGCGAACCCTTTCAAGTCATTTAAAGCATCTTCTACGCCAATCCCATAAAACATTTTGGCACTTTAATGACGTAAGCAAGCAGAAACCTCTTACCGGAGTGAAGTTCATGACTTTGAGAATCCAGATGGTGAGTGCCAGGTTGACAATCATCGTGACAAGTAGGAGGAGGATGAAGAAGTACAAGCATCTCTTCCTCCAGCCGTAGATGCCGACTGCTGGGTAGACCTGGCCACTGCACTCTGACGCGCCTCGCTGGTGGAGGGGGTTAGGCTGGGCCGCGAGGATGTACTGCTCCTGGGTCATCTGAAACGATCCAATTAAAACAACGTGTTTAGTTAGGTGGAGATGAAATCGAGTGACCAGATGTTAAATCTGCCAGAAATGCAATGGATCTTCCCAAAAAAAGCTGAAGACGGACCAACGCAGGGGAACCAAAATGTCTAAAAATAGATCTTCATCCAGTTCAGAGAACAGATAAGGACACCAGAGGTGTGGGTGAACTGCTGATGGAGAGATGGATGAAAAATGACGAGGAGGAGACAGGAGAAGAAGAAACCGGAAGCATTTAAGAGTGAGATAGCGGTAAGGAGAAAGAAAGACGAAAGCGATAAAAATGAGATTGAGGTGGAGCCGTTAAGTGGAAAGATAGCGCACCTTTGAGTACGTTTGAGATAGGAAGGAAGGATGGAAAAAGGGACATAGGGCTGATAAGAAAGTAGAGGAAGACAGAGTCCATTAGTTGAAGTGCAGCATGCGGAGTCATTGGTGGCAAGAGATACAGACTCTCGCTGCAAGGCTGCACTATCTTCGCCTATCTGGCTCTCTAACTCTTTTGCTCTCCTTACCTTGCTCTCTATACCTTAAAGTCTCTATTGCTCCCTTCCTTGTACTCGTTAATTCACTTCCTATCTCGCTTTAGCACTTCTCTCGATCTTCATCAGTCTCTGTCTCATGCACACATTCACTCTCATCCGCATGCATGCATTGGTCTTTATTTGCGGAAATTGCATGATCTTAACGCCTCTTTGGCTTTTGATTTCTTTTCTCTCTCTTTCCCAAAGAAAAGCTTTCTCTCTGTGAATATCCCAAAATGCCAGGGCTGGGAAAACTGCTGACTCGAAACTTGCTGAAGAGAGAAAAAAAAGTGAATGCAAACAAGAAATGAAGTGAAAAGGAGTTTTAAAGACAATTCAAGAAGGTCAGTTCCAAAGTGAAATGTAAAATAACTTTTTGACAATGAGAATTTATAGTTCACTGCTGTGTTTTTTTTTTCTGTAGTAATACACTTCCATTTAAATTTCATAATGTAGACAGTGAGGTCTACAATATAAAATTGTTTCACACTTCTGTGACTAGTGCAGTTACATAATAGCACACGAGTCTTCCCTCTGGTTATTCAGTACCACTCCTGCATGCAAGGGGACACCTGAGCTGATATTATAATCCGAATGCATACATGCAATGAGAAAAAATATCCAAGTGGAATAAGTTTAGCATGTAACTTCCCAAAATAATGTTTTCATTTTATATTTGAAAAAACGTTCACCATATAACATGAGACAGACAATCTGTGATAAAAAATATACCTCCTCTTTTGTGTCCCAGTGCAGCTATGTACTCCCCCCAGTCAGCACTAAACAAGCAATCAAAGCCAAGAGGATTGTGTTAAAGCTGTCAACGAGCTCATGTATGAGCTTCTCATTGTGGTGGAGAAAACTTTGTTGTCCAGGAAAACTGTTTATCTACCGACACATGTGGCTAAGCTAACTGGCCTAAGCATTCATGGCTTGGGAAGCTAGCTGTAGCCTAGCACGGTGGGAACTTACGAGAAATGCAAACATAAGATTGATTGACGGCGCTAAAGCTGTTTCGGAGTTCCATTTTTTCACAGATTTTTTGTTTCATACTATACTGTATGACAGTGATCCCTGTAGTATTCAAGGAAAAAACAAAGAGAGAGAGAGAAAAAAAGGATCTTAAAAAATTTACATGCTACATCTTTCAAGTAGCTGTACAGAGTTGGACAGTTTCATAAAGTCCGACACAGCTGTGTAGTTTCCTCTGTACATCAGGAGATATTTTCCACAAAACAACCCAGTACCTGCTGACTGAACCATGTTCAGTCAGACTGAGGAAAAACACAGGTGAAATGCATCCAAGATTCATCAGATTAATCCAGCAAAACATACGCAGCAGTGCACAGGAATATGTCTGGAAGCATTAACAACAAAGCATGAATTCAATCAGAATATTGCATGTGTAGCAATTATTAATACCTGAAAAGGCCTGGTGTCGTTCTTGTAATGGAGGGGAAAGAATTTAATTTCATACAAGATTAAGAGGAGCCAATGTGGGGAATGTGGTACATACTCCAATTTGTTCCTTAGCAAAGGAAGATAAATCTACTTTAAAATTTGCATGTTGAACAAGCATTCAATATTTTTGATTCAGCTGTAATCCAACCAATTCATAAATAAGCACAATCTCGATTGGAACATGCAGCAAAGTCAAGCAGAAAGAGGGCTTAGTGTTTGTCAAGCAGGATAACGGACTAAAGATGTTTTTTTTCCTTTTCACAGTAGCGATTTAAGACATTTATGTTACCGATCACATTATGCAGACAAAACCTATGGATCGACACGAAAGCATGTGATTATACAGAGTTGCGATAGGGTGCTGGGCATATTATCTCCCTTTTCAGTATCCCAGCTGAATCAATAGCAGTGTTTGTTCCTATGATGACATGTTACCATGTGTAGAAGAGTTTTCTGTGGTTACTCACAGAAATGCTAATAATTTTCCTTCAAGCATAAACAGCAAGAATCAATAGGTGTCCAGAAGGATCTTAGCGTGCGTTTGCGTGCACTGTGTGTGTTCGTTGCATGATAGTTTCTGCAGTGCGACCGAGTCGAGCAATGAGAATCACTGATACAGATGACAACAAAATAAATGGAATGACATCACCCCCCTACTTCTGGAGAGTGTGTGCGGCTAGTTTTTGTCAATTTAAAATCCCAGAGTCCCTCCATGATTTACTGTAACTGGCTGTGCCAATGAGTCATTCGCTGCGATACATCTGAATTTCTGTATCATTTCACTCAAAGCCTGGCATTGTTTTCATGCCTGTCGCTTTAACTCAGCAGTTTGACAATGTATGCTTTCTGCGAAATGCAGAGGAAAACAAACAAAACAAACAAATGACACACTCATGCTGTCAAACAACAAACAAACGCACCGAAGGAAATATCATTGAGCATATTTTCTTATTCAAGCCCTCTGGCTCCTTTTTCAACAATGCTTATGATATTTCTATCTTCAAATTTTTCGAAATAAATTGAATTAACATTTGTGTTTAAGCTCGAAGATGCTTGAAAGCTTGAAGATTGAATTACTGAAATTGCATTCAGTCAGTTTCCCGTTTGCATCGTTACTTCAGTCAACGTTGATGCCAGTTGCTGAGATTAGGATTTAAAGGTTTAAAAGGTTTCAAACTTCAATTAAATGTGGCATGAATGACAAAAGATTGTAACACAAAGTTCGGTGCAACACCTTAAAGCTGCCGATAGCTTCGTCATGTGTGGTATGCGGAGGTTACAAATGAAGGACTAACCAGAAAGCCAGATAAATTACCCAAGTCAAATCAACAAAATCTGAAAGTCTTAAAATGGAGGATTATGCCAAATAGACATTTTTTACCCTTACGCTATGTTATGTGGTGATTCCCTCATCAAAAATAGACTCTGACTGTTGGTTTAACTTATTCATAAATGTTTGAGTTATCCTTGAATCTTCATTGGCAACCATTTGCTGGTGCCTTAAAGTCTGCTCCTACATTAATGCCCCATCAATTTCCCTAAAGTTCCACCTGCGGGAATCAGCCACACATCGCCACTTCCCTGTGCCCCTCCAGACTAGCAGCAGTAGCAATCGGCAAACACCTGGTGGATCTGTGGGTCTACAGAGCTACAACCTTCTGAAAAACGGTTGCATGTAGCATCAGTGAACAGCTCAGAGAAGTGTTGCTTTAATGGCATGATGAAGTGGGAGTGTCGGAAAGGTAGAAGGTTCTTAAAGAGACATAGGCCAATTTTAAAGTGTCAGATGTGGCTGTGCTGCCAGATTTTAAGTTGTATTTGATAAAAACAGCATTTTCATAACAACTGAAACTAAAAGTTACTGGATTATGCAATTAAATGTCATTATGTGCCCAAAAAATATATAAAGAGTTTAGAGCACATATAAGTTTTTCATTAAACTCTACTACAATTATTTTTGATTTTATTTCAAGATAGCAATTCACATCTTCCATTACTGATTTTCAGACCAACGTTGTTTACGTCTTCTCTTCCTCCCTTTGTTTTCAGCCCATCCATTTTGCTCCCTTCCATTTTTTTTTTTTTTTTTTTTTCGTACACCAATCCCTCTTTCTCCGACTCTCAATGCATTTCTTAGATTGAACTGACAGCGTGGTCATCAATCAATGCTATGGGGCTCCACAGTCCCTGCACAGCATGACTTAACTGTATTAACATCATAATGTCTTTACAGCCATAAGTACAATGTCAGCAAGAGCCACATTTCCATGGATACCAAACACAGCACATCTAATGGAGGCATAAGTCAATTCAGGCACTTTACTTAAGACCGACTCATAAAATATATAAATACAGTTAGCCTTTTGTGGGAATGTTTTGTGGTTGGTATCATGAGACTTCCAAATCACAATTATACAAATACAGCAATACATTAGATGTATGATAGAACATAATTGAATAGCTGTGGCTGTGATTGGTTTGCTTTTCTTTGAAACTGGTGGCAAAGTAAAGGGCTTACTGATCAATAGTTAACTGATATGTACTGTCTGTTGAAGCACCAGCTTTATCAATCGAGGAGCAACAACCAATGGGCAAAGACATCCCACACTAATGAAAACTTATTTAAATGGGTCAAATATTGGCATCTATAAAAGTTCAGATCAATTCAGATATTTTTTGCACATTGAAACGTGTGGCGTTTTTCTGAGATTTTTACTTAAACTTTGTCCTTTTGGTGAAATGACACAAATTACCACCTTCAAACACTTCTTGATAATGTTTACTTGATATACAACCCGACGCTGTGGGGCTGTTAATTTTATAGAAGCTTTGGAAACCTTGCTACAATATTTAGTATGGGGAAGTTTTGAATATTTATTTAAAATATAACAAAAACATTTCCTAAAAATTTACCTCCTTCAATTGCATCTCCGATTGACCAAAAAAATCAACCTTGTGAATAAAGAGTAGCTGTCCTAATTCATTCCC